CTGGCATACCGTGTCCGTTTCGCATATCCTCAGCATACGCGCGATAATTTTTGTACGCATTCAATTTTTCGTTGTTCCGACTTACCACTTGTTTTGTGACAATTTTTTTATTCGACTCGAAATGACTTATCCTCTAGCTGACAATGCCCACAGATGTCGTCTGTTTTGACAGGATCGACTTTGTGAACAGATATTGGCAAGTTTTTTGAGGCTTCTTCGGTCGCTCAGTTTCTTTTGGCTGAAATTACCAGAATCAAGTTTTGTAGAACTCGCGAAATTTCGAAAAGCAAGGTTTGTAGTTCAAAAGCAGAAACTGTTGTACAAGACAGGCAGGAGAGTTTTAGTCATTTTTTCTTTTACCACGGCGATTAATTTTGCTTAGAGTTTCACACTTTGTTGATATTTTGTTCAATTTCCAAACTAGGAGTGGCTTCGAAAGGTAAAGCTCAGGCTGATAAAGTCAAGAGGATGCTCTTAAAACTTGAGCTGATGCTATAAGTAAACAGCAAATAAATTCATCAGCAATTACTTCAATGAGACCTCGCCTGAGCTCATAAACCCAGTAGAGTGAACTTAAACTCTTGCACCGAATGTGATTAATCAGCAACTGGGCTGTAAGTTTAATTTAGACCAGGAACGAAAGGAGCATCACCATGTTCGATTACAGGGTTTTTGTTAATCGATAGGGGTTACTATAATTGATAGGATTTTTGCCGAAGGTTAAGAAAAGATCAAACTCTATGGTAAAATCTTTGATTACGTTCGAATTTATTGCGTATCTTTTTTAAAGTGGTAAAGTTTGATATTTTTGGGTTTATTGGCACAATCTAATTTAAAAAGTTGTCTAGCTACTGATGAACGTCACAAAAAAGCCAGTTAAAAGTTTTCAATTTTTGAAAAGCTGATTTTTTTATGTAAAACTTTTAAAAATCGTTCAACCTTTTTGTTTGTTTTTCAAAGCAATATCGTAGTTAGTTTCATGAGCTGTAGAATAGAGAACAAGCAGCGAGAAAATAATTTCTTCGACCAGTGTTTTCAGGCTAAGATTCATGGATAATTTTCATGGAGTTATCTCCAAGTCTGTTGTAACCATCGGTTTTTGAAATCGTACCATTTGACTGAAGCAATTTTCCAAACTGATTTTCAGATCACTTCTTTATAATAACTCGAATCAGACTTCGAAACACTCTCCTGCATTGCTAAGAATTTACGGGAAAAACTCTTACGTTCTCCCAATCTGTCCCAACAATTTTCAAATGTTTCAATTTTCCTTCATTTTTCTTCAAATAGGTTTTTACACCGAATATTCACGAGGAAACACTGGTTTCTTTGATTTAGATATACCACTAGGCAACTAAACAGTTAGAAAGCGCAATTTAAATCTCGCTCCAAAATATACATAACACTTGGTATTTCCCTACCGACTTATCTTCTGTATCAGCTAATAATGTATTCATTTCATAGGACCAAGAATACATTTGTTTTTAGCCCAAAACCCTCCTAAAGCATTATTCAAAATTTTACCCCTGTTAAAAATCACAGGGGCTGGTACTTGGACCCACAATACTTTTTCCCACGGTATCCAGGGTTGGCATGTTATTTAACATTGTTATTTAACATTGAATTTAACTTACAGTGTTATTTATAATTTCTAACAGTGATGTTAGCTATTTCTTAGAAATATGAGTAATTCTTAGAAAAACACAACGCAACTATACTGCATGCTTGTTCCGAAACGATTGTAGCGAATCCCGAACGGATGAATTTTTTTTTTTCAAACCAATTGCAGTTTCACTTGACAAACTACAGAGCGATAAATCTCACCTGACGTATGGGAAGCTTCGTGCTCAACTCGGCGTTGAGAAAGCCGGAAAGTTGGCGTTTCTGTTCAAGAAACTCAACTCTTGTTGATATGTTTTTTTAATTAACAATTTAACAAAAATAACATGTTTTTTTTTGATAAATAACAGTTAGTTTGTTATTTTTGTTTTTAACTTACATTTTGCCAACCCTGACGGTATCTCAATGTGTGGGTTTGGTTTTCCCACGGTACCGACAACTGCTGCAGTAACCCCCTCCTCCTCTTGGTGAAATGGCGGATTACTGTACTACTACTTTACGGTTCTCGGAATATGACATAAATTCTACATCCAACGTTAATACTAAACAGTTGTGGTCTGGTTATAAAATATAACCACCTGATCCAACTCAAATTTTTTGCAAATTCAGAACTGCTCGATCGATGAATCGCTAATGTTAGAACTGCGATGTTTATCTCTGAACAGAGGTACTGTGTAGAGTTTGAGGAGTTTTCGGTATTTTAGTGTTTTATTACTGAAAATGTACTGATTTGAACAGCAAGACCAATCCGGCTTTTTCTTTTCAAATACGTGTCAAATATTGTAACCCAATGGAGTTTGTTCAATTAATGGTTTTAACAACCGTCTTTTCTCAATAAGGCAGCCTAAAACGGTAGTTGATGTGAGTTGTTGGTCAGTAGATCTAAAAATTGGTATCTTGTTAACTATTTCCGCCCCTCTGGTACCTTGTAACGAATCCCCCTCTATAAAGAAAGAATTGAACAGTTAAGCGCATGCAGTAATTTTGTGTCTTGTTAACTATTTCACCCCTATTCCCTATTTCCCCCCTATCGTTATTTTTAAGATGTGTTTGTGAATAGCAATTTCCAATTATATCTTATTCTAAACAAGGATTACCAGCTGCTGCTGTAGTAGCACTGAATGTTGTAAGCATACATAATTTTACATTGAAGTTTTAATAAATTTAGAATATAACATAACAATCGGGTACTCTTTTCGCGTGAAAAACTTTGTTTTTAGGACGCATCTCTTTCCATGTGACTTATTTTTTGAGGTCTCCGTTGAAATTTAAATGCATCAGACCTATTATGAGCATGATAGGCTTCTAAATACTCGTTCTTTTTGAAATTTGTTTCTTACGCGGGTTGCACTATTACCAACTCAATTTTTGTAAAGAGTCCCCTAATCAATTTTTCTTTTCAAAGACTTATTCGGCTGAAAAGGTTTTGTCGGAAGTTATATTGGCTTAATAGCCTGTTATTGTGTAATTTATGGCGTCATTTTTCTCCCAGCGTAACTTTGAAAGATAAAAGTTGCAGTTTTGTAAGTCAGTTTTCTCACGCCTCATCAGGCATAGATTTTTTTTTATCGCAACTAGAGCGAAGTTCCGCTTCGCCTTCGTGCTGATTTCCTACATTTCAGTTTTTAGCTATCGAGATAATGAGAGGGGACTGATTTCGTTTCTAGAAATCATTAGATTGGAAATGCAGTCAGAAGTAACTATAGCACTTTTTTTTATCACGGCTCAAAAAGCTTTAATTTTTACATTTATATTTGAACTATTTAGTGACTTTAATAAGTCAAAAATGGGGGGACACAAGCTAGTCCTTAGTTGCGTCCTTTCACTTATAGCCTCTACTGATGCAAATTTTCAGCTAAGATGAAAAGGCTGTGAGCAAAAACTCTTCATCTTTACAAACAATCTTTTCCTTATTATGTCCATCCTTGAAAGTTGGTTCTTAATGAAATATCAAAGGATTGAAAGAGAAAGACTAAAGGATAAGACAGATAAGCTTTCGAGGAGACCACAATAATTAGTTCGAAAATTCCACTTGATTATTTTCTAAATCGTATGAAAATAATTTTCATGCTATTGAGTAGCAGACCGATATACTTGAAGATTGGTCTGGAAATTGTTTTTTAGTTTTGATTCTTATTAGTTGAAATAAATCTTGAAATGATATTTCAAATAGTTTTTAAGATTAAAATGGCCAGAATTTACTTCTTTGAAATCAATTTATTTTCCCGTTGTATCCCAGAAAATCTTAGTACTGTCAAATTATGTTCCCCTGTATGATTCTTTCTACCCATAATATTTGTTTCCGAAAGTTAGAGATAGAAAAGTCATTGAAATTAAAAATCATTGGCATCATTGCCATTTTTTGAATGCAATCGTTGCCGATGATGCCTAATTCACCAACGTTATAGCAAACGTTATTAAATCAAGCCAACTTGTTCCATTTTAAAAATTAGGACTTAGGGTAAGACTCAAGGTTGAGACAGATAAGCTTTCGAGGACACCATAATAATCAGTTCAAAAAGTCCTCTTACTTTTTTCTTAATCGTATGAAAATAGTGTTCATGCTATTAAGTAGCAGACCGATATACTTGAAGATTGGTCTGGAAATTGTTTGCAAGGTTCGAGTTATTAGTTGAAATCAATCTTGAAGGTGATATTTCAAATAGTTTTTAGGATAGGATTAAAATGGCCTGAATTTACTTCTTTGAAATCAATTTATTTTTCACTGTTAATACCAGAAAAGCTTAGTACTGTCAAATTATGTCCCCCTGTATGATTCTTTCTACCCATGACATTTGGTTCCAAAAATTAGAGATAGAAAAATCATTGACATTAAAAAATGGTTGGTAGGCCAACAAACCGAAAATAAGATAACCATTCCAACAAGCCAGAAATTATTATTGTTATGCAACATAACAACAGATTGTCATGGTTGTTATGAAATTAATACATAATTCTGATGTAATTTACATTATTTTGATGCAAATTCGGCTTCAAGATATGTCGGTTTGTTGATTAGAAAACGATATAAGAGGTCATTATTTAGTCAAGTTAAAGGTTGAACCAATTTGAGACGTTTCTTCTTATCGCAAATAAGGATGGAAAAAATTCTATTTTGGGTCGGCCAAATTAATTTCAAGTCTAATCGCATTAGAGGAACTTCCCCTAGGCTTGATATTTAATAATTTCTATCTCTAGATCTATAGAATATCTAGATGAGTTAACGCTATCAATGCTATTTTTTGAGTGATAAAATTGAACGAATGAAGGGGTTTCAAATGTTTTGATACTTTCCGTAGAAAACAGGCTTTTTGTGGGCAATTACAAAAACTTTGGTGGATAAACTTTTGTTGATTATGGAGGTGATTTGTTCCTTTTAGGGACACAGTAAACAAGATACCTCGACCGAGGTTGCACTGAAGCGGATGATGGTGAAGGATGCGAATGAACTAGCTCATCTGCAAATGGAGATCACTCTTCTGTACCAGCTGGACCACCCAAACATTGTCAGATACTATGACTCATTCTACCAGTTAGTAGTAGTCTTGTAAAGTAATAATTCAAATGACATAATCTAAGAAAACTAGGAAGCTGTCCAATAATCGCAGATTGTTTCGTGACATAGAATTATATCAGAGTTGACACTTTCTTGGTTCTACGTGTCAGAAATGTTGATTTCTTTTGTCAATCCACTCTGCGACGAAGTACATAACAGATTGATGAAAAACTACAAATTGGCAAAATGGCCATTTGATCACTTTCGCTGAATATGCTTATTATGAGTGCTGTGTTTTTAGCAACCGGTGTTTGTGGTTGATCATGGAGCTGTGCAGCTACGACTCCCTCCAGGATATCTACAACCAAAGTAAGTACTCTGACTGTTGTAGTCGATCATGTGCAATATCTCTACCTGCTAGCGTGTTTGCCTTCAGGAATTCAATGACCGGTTGCGTGTTACATCATTTTATGGTTTTATCATGTAACCTTATATTTCGGTTGTATTCTGCTCGATGTCACTCTACCTTACGCAGTTATACCTTCGCTCCGAGATGTACCTTGAATTTATTCGACCCCATTGGTCGATCGGTACGGTATTCACTATTTTAAAACGTTTCAAATAGAATCACTCCATGCTGAATCATGGTCGTTGTTGTTGTGTTTGCCTCGTCGAGGGGCAGCGCATGATCTTCCGTCTTCGTGGTCTGATTTTGTTTTGAATGGCTTGATCTTTTTTTCTGGAATGATTGAGACGTTTCAGTACTTCCTGTTGAAGGATGATAGTTTCTTCGCATCGTTCAAATCGCACTTTGTGGCCCCGCCATGGTGCCTGTTGGTAGAAGGGGCCCCGAGTACTTTGTTGAAATGCAATTTGGCTCCCTTCTCGATGTAATTGTTAGGGTCGAACAAGTCAGTCAAAGGGCCCGACTTGTGGCTTTTGAGAGACCGTTTTATTTGTCTGCGGGGGTCAGACGTTTTGAGGTTTTCTTCCTTGGTGTTTGTACAGGCGGATGTTTTACTCTCCATTCATCTAATGTCTTACGATAAGGTATGTTGTCATTGAGCGATCAATCAATTCATCCATCTTTGTAGCCATTCATCTATCCAACCAGCCAGCTAGCTATCCATTCATCTAGCCATCTTGTATGGAATCATCCATCCATTTAATTATCCATCCTTGCATTAAACTATCCAGCTATCGATGTTTCCAGCCAGCTATTCATTCATCAAGGAATCCATCTAGTTAGTTAACCAGCCAGTCGTCCATTAAGCCATTAATCCGCCCAATCATATGTCTAACAATCTATCAATCTACTCATCCCTGTCAATCCCTTCAGCGTGGTAATCATCCCGTTATCGATATATCCACACACCCATTTGTTTATCCAGCCATCCACCCATCGATCAAGTCATTCATCCTTTTATCTAGCCATCTATCCAGCCAATCATCAAAACATCTAACGAACCGATCATCCATCTAAGCAGCAATCTATCCCTCCATCCAATAATCCACTAAATTCAGTCAGTCATCAATAATCCAGCAGTTGATCTTTGCGTTAAGCCTGTCGTTCGTCCAGCTAATCATCATGGATCTAGCTATCCAACCATTTAGATACCCATCTGTCTTCCATCAAGTAATTCATCCATCCTTGCATCCCACATTTCATACAGCAAACCATCAATCTATCTAGCTTTCCAACCAGCCATCTATCCGGTCATCGAGCCATTCAACCAACCAGTTTTTCATCCATCTAGCCATCTATCTATGCTCATGAATTCAGCCATCCTTGCAACCAGTCATCCATCTAGCCAACCATACATCCAACCAGTCATGCTTCGATTCATACCTTCATCAAACCAGCCATCTAGCCACCCACCTAGAGAGCCATCCTTGCTTCCATCTAGCTATCTATCCTGCCTTCAACCCATCTATTCAATAATCCAGCGATCTCGAAAACCAGCTAATTATCCATCCATCCTATCTATTTCTCTGTTAAACATTATCGTTTGCGTTTTTCAGGAGCAGCTATAGTGTTAGTGAGCCTGCTAGTTGGAATCAAGCAAGCCAGTTGGTCTTTTCAGTTCATTACTAAAAACATATATCAGGTGTTTTCGTTCAATCTAAAGCGCTTATCTCTTTGATTTTATTTTTTTTCTGCGACATGCAATTTACCGTTGTAAAGTTTTCATCATGCTCACTTTGATAATTTTGCTCATTGAAATTTGGCTTTGTTTGAACTTCACTTCGAAATCGTCTGCTAAGTCTAGGGAAAAGTGCGCGTTTCAATGTAAGTGTGCAAGTTACGGTAATAAGAGCTTCGCGGATACGATAATCGATCAGATGCTCGTAATATTTGCACAACAGTTACTTTTTCAGCTGACGATTATATATTAACTGCCTCGGTTTTGTTTCCGCCGAGCTTTGACTTAATTATTTCATTGGGTTATCAGTGGAAAACAATTCAAAATTTTTCGAAGTTGGAACTGTATTTGCTAGCTAGTTTATTAAAAAAGTATAAGTAGAAAGTTACGAAGTTTTATACTAATTTAATGAATTACTCTCAGTTTTGCTTTTTCGATATCTGATTAATTTTTTTTAAAATTGAATTCATTTGCCAAAAGGAAGGAAATTGACGCTCTCTAAAAATGAAATTGCAAATGAGAACTCGAGTTTCCTGAGAAGTTTTCACGCACAAAAATGCTTTTTTAAATCTGCTTGTTTCATGTCTTTTTGCTAAAGTGAAATTTTTTTTGTCGTTTTAAGACCCGTTGAAGAAAACACGGCATTTAGCTTTTTTCTGGAATTGATGCACTTCACACGTTTTCTTCAATAATTAGGTGCCTCGAATTTTAGAAAGCAACTCGTTGATTTTGTTTTTACTTAGTTCTTACGATGACTCTCTGATAATTAATTTTTTGTTTTAATCTTTCTACGTTCTCTATGAGAATTGGAAGCGACGTTTGGTCTGGCTTAGGACCATTAGGGAACTGAACAGACTCCTTTGATGATTGATTTTTATAGTTGGTATATTTTTCAAAAGAGAGAAAATTGTGAATCGTCAAAGAGCGCACTAACTAATTGAAAATGTGTTTTAATGAGTTTTTAACAATAAGAAGTGAAAGTTAGAATTAGAAATGTCGGATTGTTGCAAGTTGAACTAAGTCGAAGTGATGAAATAATTTCTGGAAATGTACATGTAGAGGCGTTTTTTAGGCATCCCATTTAAAAATCAAGTAACGCAAGATGTAAAACTGATATCAGAAACAAATGAGTTTTATGAGTAATAACAGTTTTTTTATGTTGCAGAGAAGAATGCGTTCAATGAAGAGCAAATTGCATTTGTAATGCGTGAAATGTTCGAGGCTGTCAACTACATACACAGGCAACATGTCATGCACAGAGACATCAAAGTAAGTCCAAGAAGCCACCCAGCAGGCTAAGCTGAAGTTGTGTGCAGTAGGTTCATCGGAAGCCAAGTGGGCGCTGGGCTATGAAAATGCATCTCAAATTACATACCTTAATTCCCAAATGGCGTGAAAATTTTAATTTCAAATAAGACTTCAAAATATATGAGATGACATGTGCTGTCTATTTTTCTAAAGGTGCAATGCATAATAAGTAACTGGAATATAAAAAATTCACATGGCTCTAAGTCGGTTTACAATTCTGGTATCTTGTTGTATGCGCGCTGTGTCATAATCTCATGATATTTTTTCTAGCATTTTCGATATTTTCCTGTCGGTTGTTTTGAACGAGACACCTTAGTAAAAATAATTGTGGATCCTCAAATTACTCGACCATAAAGTATGCATGACAATGAGTAAAAGTTGTTAAAATTATAACTTACGTATAAGTATTCAAGTATAGATTATTTTCGTCAAAGAATTAACGAAATGTTTAAGTATGAATTACAATTATAGTTGTGGAATAAAAGGGTATTATGTTTGAAGTTAGTTTTGAGCTACAGTCAATTTAGTTAACAAAAATATTGACAGCAGTTCCTGTCTAAGTGGAACTGATGGCCTTATTTGATTTTTTTTTGTTCTTTTTGTTTCACGATCAAGTTTAATTTATCGCGGTTCGACTCATTAATTTTTTTTTTCAAAGTCATTTGCTGACAGGAAAAATAATTATGCTCTCCAAAATAAAAGTGCAATTGACGCAAGGTTTTATAAATTGAAAGAAGTTAAAGGTGATAAGTTTTTCGAAATTTAAAATTATTTATTTTGCCTTAAATTTTAGTTGAAAAATCAGCTGCTGTTTTTAGTTTCCTAGTTTTTCTGAACTCATTCCCAACTGTCTGTTAAATATGAGTCGATTCAAGATTTTGTTGAAACTTATATATAAAATTCGAAAATTTATGGTGGCTAATAAACAATTTGGAATCATGGTCAGCCATGAAATAATGCGCCACAATATTAGTTTTTTTCATACTACAGAAGCGATGTTTTCCCTAGCATTCATTATAGACTTATAAACTTGCGGTTTGTTCAAAATTCGTATTTTTTTGAAGCCCCCCAGCTGTTTTGATGTTGTTGTTGTTGTAGACAGACTAATTTCGTTCCGAATTTCTGATTGAATCAGAGAGATTGATTCTGTTTGAGATAGAGAGAGAGAGTGAGAATTTTCGTTGGTAATCACTACAGTTTCCCCAGGGTCTCTTGCGGCAAAACTGACTCTTATATAGGTCGCGATGTTTTGTTTTCAGGAGAAGTCTTCAGGCTCAACTTAACTTTTTCGCGAATTCTATTTGAGATCTTTTCAAGCTCATTTCCTTTGTTAAAAGAAAGGCAATTCCATTATCGAATATTGAAAGTGTATAGGTCCTGAAAAAAGTGGTTGACTTCCGTTTTCGAAAGCGAAATCTGATTTTCAGATTTCCCCGCGAAAAAAAAACTTTTACTTATTGATCCAGTTCTCAAATTGTGTTACTGTTATCAAAAAAGTGCCAATCACAAATGTTCTAGAATTTCAAAGAGCTATAAGGCGATTGACTCTCTTTCTTTGAAATTCGAATGTTGAAGTTTTGTCAATTAAAAATACTCGACAATAAAGTATACGTGACAATGAGTATAAGTTGGTAAAAGTATAACTTACGTGTAAGTATTCAAGTATAGATTATTTTCGTCAAAGTATAAATTAAGTTTTTAAATATGAATTACAAATTATAGTTATGGAATAAAAGTGTATTATGTTTGAAGTTAGTCTTGAGCTACGGTCAATTTCAGTAACCAAAAATGTAGACAGCAGTTTTTGTTTAAGAGTCAATGAAGGAAATGATGGCCTTATTTAGGTCGAGTGTTGTTTTTGCTTCACGCTCAAATTCATTTTATCGCTGTTTGACTCATGTTTTCTTTTTGATTTTTTCTCACAGTTTTTTTGCTGATAGGAAAAAGAATTAGGCTCTCCGAAACAAGTGTAATTGAAGCAAGGTTTTGGAAATTGGAAGAAAGTAAAGGTGATAAATTTTAGTTATCAATTTTAGTTGAAAAATCAGCTCTTGTTTTTAGTTTCATTGGTTATTGACTCATTCTCAAAACGTCTGTTAACTATACGTCGATTCAAGATTTCGTTGAAATTTTTATTCAAAATTAAAAAAACTTATGGCGGCTGTTAATCAATTTGGAATCATAGTGAGCAATGACATAAATTTCTATAACAAAATCAATTTCTTGCTTGCTACAGAAGCGATTTTTCCCCGGCATTCACTATTATATACTGATCTCAGGAGGATGTTTGACTTGTGCTTCAGATCATTTGGTCAAAACTTGGTGCTTTTTTTGAAGCGCCGCAGCTGTTTTGATGTTGTTGTTTTAGCTACACTGATTTCGTTCCGAACTTTTGATTGAATTAGAGAGATCGATTTTTAGGAATTTTCGTTGTTCGTCATGTGTAATCATCTACCACTGCAGTTCCCCCAGGGTCTCTAGCGGAAAAACTGACTCTTATATAGGTCGCGATGCTTTGTTTTCAGGCTCATATTTAATTTTTAGAGAATTCACCTTCGAGATCTTTTCATTTCCTTTGTTCAGTGAAAGGCAAATCGAACAGTGAAAGTGTAAAGGCCACAAAAAACGTGATCGGTTTCCATTTTCGAAAGCGGAATCTGATGTTCAGATTTCCCAGAGAATAGATTTTTTACTTATTGATCCAGTTATCAAATTGGGTTACTTTTATCAAAAAAGTGCCGATGATAATTTATTCTAGAATTTCATAGAGCTGTAAGGCGATTTGTACTGTCTTTGAAATTTGAGTGTTGAAGTATGATTGAAATAGCTTTCAAAACTACTTTCGAGTTGAACAGATTTGCGGGCCAAGCGGATTTGGTATATTTTTTTCTGATTAACTACAATCTGAACTTTCTCAACCCTGGGCAACTTGGAGAATACCAAAATACAGATTGGTGGGGGGAGGGATATTAAAAGACAGAGCCGAATCACCTTCTGATTGGTCTGTCTGTTTTGATTTGGTTTGTTTTGGGAATAGCAGCTAGTGAAATGGAACTTAATTCCAGGCTGATTCGGCAATGATTAAACTTGCTTAATTGAAATTTCATCTTCATTGACTTCACCCTTCCCATTCTACACTTTCGTTCTTAAAGTGTATGATTCTTTTTGTCTTAATGTGACATCACGAGTTAATTGAAAAATTACGATACCAATGCATTATTGTTAAAACTTATCTTGAGACTCAATTTCTTTAATTATCATACAGGACAGACATTAAGGGAAGGAAAAGTACGACTGGGAATGTAAAAGTAGCCGCGAGAATAGCACATGGTACCGCTCTGTTAATCATGCAAACGCAGACATCGTTGCTAAATCCTTGTTTCAAGGCAAAGCGTCTGTATTAGATTAAGAAAAGGTATTTACTGATCTAGAAAAGTATGATGCTGCTCCAAAATGTTGAATTTTTAACAAAAAGCAGAAAAATTATCGGATTACATCGCATGAAGTTGCAATACCAATGCTTTCATATTTGAGGCGATGATAATTTTATCGTCAAAATCTAATACTTTTTCAAAAACCACTTAATTTAGCACTTCGATTATGTCACAGTCCTAAATTTGACATCTAGTTAAACAAGTAGTAATTAACTGCATGAATCGAAGAGTCGATTCACTTAAGGCAATTAGATGTGTTTATTTGACTCAAATTCAAATAGCCCTTTTAGGGGTTGGATGGTGAGCGAAAAGATCCTGGGTTCCGATTCCTTTCCCCATTGCTTATTGAATTGCTTATTGCTAATTGCTGTTCAAAATGGGCCATCTATTCATGTGTAGCCTTTTTGTCTGCTTTTGTTCAACCGATGTTTAATAACTTCACCTCCCTTCATGGCAGTTGTTGTCAATACAATGGGGCTTAAAAGGTTATTTTGAAATAAGATTGTACTTTACTTGCCCCTTTAGGCTGAGAGCAAAAGGAAGTTAAGTCGACTCGCAGAACTACAATTATTGTTCCGACTTTCGATACGAAAGTGACGGAATATTTGTACTCGGGGTGGGTTTTTTTCTTCAGACAAATTTCGAATTTTTAACTAGCCATTTTTGACGGATTTTTTAAATATCATTCGAAAGGTATTGTTGTCCTGAGCTCAAATTTGAAAAGATATTTTACCTGTGATCATTTTTCGTAAAGTTACGGGGGTTTAAAGATTGCCATTTTGGCCAAATTGGGACAAATAACGCGCGATATGTTTCGCGCTATTAACGCGTAAGCGGAGAGTTAATCCGCCTTAGAAATTGTTCCCAATTGGTTAAAAGAAGCTTATGTGCCATAATTGGTTTGTTACAAGGAGCGAAATCTATCCTTTTGTACTTTGTATGGCGTGTGGGGGGATGATTTTCATTAGAAAATTTTAGAATTTTTTTTTTAATTCATTGAATTTTTTGATGTTATTACTGCTCCATAATACTTAAATGGCAGTCGGAACATTCAGGGTTTCGCCCTGATACGAGCAGTCTTGTTAGAAATTAAACAAAATTGAACAGTTATTGGATGTGAAATTGTTCAGACTACAATAACTTTAGTTTGGTTACGAAGCAGTATTTAGACAACCACGTATTCAGACTCGTCAGTAATTAGACAAATACTGTGTTAACTAATCAGAATCGAGACAAGGAAGAAATAATAATTATTTATTTCGTAAGTTGTTTACTTACTTTCTCATTTCGATTCTGATTGGTTAATATGGTAATTGCCTGCTTACTGATGGTATGAGTACGAGGTTGTCTAAATACAGACCACACTCCCTTTAGTTTACAGCTTTGCTGAACTCAACTCAATTTACTACATGTCACAGCTGTATAATTTATGCATTCGAAATTTTTTTATACTATGTGGATTTATAACTGGGTTTTTTTTACTTATTCCGCCCAAATTTCTGAATTTTATGCTTTGTAACTTTCAATGTATAAATAGAGAGAACAAAACATTGATTTCATTGATCGATTTGGTTCAAACAAATGCGGTCCGTTTATTTTTTACCAGATTTCTATCAAAGACGAAGGTACTGCTATGATAGGGGGCGTTCAACAGTGCCGAAGTACAACAGTGCCGAAAAAGGCGGAAAAATTTAAACGCATTTTGTAAAGCGGAAAATTACTGACGCAACTTATTAAAGAAAATGGGGGATATTCTCATGGGCGAAGGACCGAATGAGCGAAAAAACTCGTGAGCAAAAAACCGAAAAAAAATTAGCCGAGAGTCAATTTTTAAAAAGAAGCAATTGCCATTCAATTAAAATGAATTGAAAAAAGCTATTTTTTGCTTCTTTCATAACGAAAACCTTGAAATGTAAAATTTGTTCCAATTCGGCGGCGGTCAGTGACAATTTGAAACTTATGCATATTTCTGCCGTTTTCATATTTGGCCAAAATCAATGTTCAGTCCCTGGAAATGTTTACTTTCTTTCCAAATTATAGATAACTGAAATCTGATTGGCTGATTTTTATTTTTGTGCATTCGGTCCTTCGCGTATGAGGGATTCTACCGAAGAAAATTACTCCAATTTCGGCGCCAAAATGTCTGCAACTGCAAATTAAACAATTATTTTGGCGCCAAGACGTCTTAATTGCAAGTTTTCTTGCTCAAAATCTTCAAGTGTCACTTAAGATTGCAAACGATCGCCGTTTAATTTTCGATTGCCGCACTTAATAAGTTGAAATTTCGGCATTGTTGAACAAAGTTTTCATTTTCGGCACTGTCGAACTAATTTTTTTTATTCGGCACTGTTGTATTGCCCCCTATGATAGGGTGGTCCCATGAAAATAACCAGGTCCCTTGAGAATTAGACACCTAGAGCTCTCAAATCGTTTAACATTATGATTTTGCCATTCAGAAAAATGTCGCAGTATTTTTTCATACAAATTTTATGTTTTGTTACTTCGTAAAAAGCTCCCTCACCATTTTAAGGTGAAAACTTAAAAAAAAATGCCAAAATTGTGTTTTGATGACAAATAAGTTAACCCAATTATGGTTGTTAAACCGTAAAATAAGTTGAAGCTAGCAGATTTCATGATATACACAATGTATAGGTTACAGTTTTTAATCTGAAAATTTTCTCGCGAGAGTTTTGAAATGAATATTTTATGCACCAATTAGTTGTCAAAATTATAACATGCGAAATGCATGCGGGACCCGTCTATCATAGTTGCTATTTTGTGGGACCACTCGATCATAGTAGTACCAAGCCGCCTTTTGAGCAATGAAGGTGGCCATTTTTGCCTGGAGCTGTGTTCTATTTTTTTTCTGGGCTGGGTAAAACCCTGCGGCATATTTGAAAGTATTTTGAATAGTTAACCAAATATTCTATTTTTCGGCGAGTTCGGCTTTTTTATTAATTGACATAAAATTGTGAACAAAACATTTTGAGATGGTGCTGAATTTTGATTGCCGAAAATAATTTCTGTTGGAGATGTTGAAATATTGTTTTTTTTTGTGTATAATAAGTAAAAAGACCCTCCATACTCTACAATCAATTGAGAATTTTAACTTTGATCTGGTTTATGTTTTTTTTTTCTTTTTTTGTATTAGTGTGACTTAATCATAATTATAAACATCAGTTTTGTGCCAAAAAGTTATCGTCTTAATTCCGTTTTTTTTACTTCGTCTAACTTGCTTGTCTAAGTTTCTACTACCCTTTATATGAATCAACTCAGTAGTAGCCGTAATAGTAAAACATCGAAGCGCGCGCTGAATGTTCCGAATGCCCATAAGCATGTCTGTGGAAGTGGTATTTCGCGTTTTGTAACATATCTTTTTGACGCAATCAGCTTGCCTCAATCAACATAGCATGCCGCCTAAGCTATTGGTTGAAAATATTTGAAACGGTGTAAGCAAACCCATATACTCTGTTGATTTAAGTTATCCGGAAAAAATTTATTAAACTTATTACTTATTAAACTTATTAAATTTTTAAACAAGTATTTATCAAATTGAGTTGACTTTAGGTGAAAAAGAAAACATGCGTAGAAGCTCAGCAGAAATGGCTGTTTTTTGTAGCGCCGGAAGTATTTGCGCTTTTCAATGTTTACACAGCCTAAACTTTAATCTGAAGCGTTTTTTTTTCTACTTATGCTACCTTTTGAGTTTATTGAACCTTTTCTTCGTAGAATAAAAACCAGAGTTGGAACCGGGCCTGGATTTGAGGCCCGGGTCCGTTTTTAGTGAAAAGAATAAATTTGAAGCAAAAAGTAAATCCCGTTTTAAGTGAAAAGAATAATTTCCAAACAAAAAGTAAATTGAAATTTAAATAATCAAAATTTAATCTATCTATCTATATCTATATACTATATTTAAATGCGAGTGACAGCTATCTCCCATGTTTAAGCATAATAATTTTGCATGTTTAACGAAAGAATTTTTTCATGTTTAACGAAAGAATTTTTTCAGTTTTTCAATTAGTTTTCCGCAAGTTCATTAATTTTTCCGTATTTTTTTCGAGGCCAAATTAAGTCTGTCTGTATACCTGCTTTTTAAATTAATTTGATTATGTCTGTCTAACCGTCGCCTAATTTTTTAACTTTCATCTATTATGTATTTAAATGCGGGCTTCACTATTTCGCCATGTTTAAGCGTTTTCAACGTATTATTTTTACATGTTTAACAAAAGAATTTTTTCACGCTTAAGCTATATCGTTTGAAATTAGCAGCCCAATAGTAGGATATTGTCAGAGTTTTCCCAGGTTTTGCGATTCTGGCCTCCATATAGAATAACCAAATCCTTTTAGTTACGAGATAGGCCATTATCGAGATTTTTCAAAAATATATAGAAAATTCAATTTAATAAAATTTCTCAATTTTTGAATTTCTCACCCTGTATTGGGTGATGTCAGGGTACTCTCAGGGGTTGCGAATCTTGCCTCCAATTCTCACTTCTCAAATCCTTCTAGTTTTCGAGATACGATGTTTTTTATGATTTTTTTTGGAAAAATTTTTTCAAAAACTTTGATTTTAAAAATTCCAAAACGTTGAAGATCTCAATCGTGTTGTTGTATATTGTGAGGGTACTCTCAGGGATTCCGAATCTTGCTTCTGATTATGGCTGCTCAAATCAATGTAGTTTTCCAGATATGACGTTTTTATGATTTTCTCCGAAATTTTCAAAAAAACTTAAATGTTAAAAAATTCCAAAACTTTGATGAGCTCAATCATGTTATTGGAATCTGTGAGGGTACTCTCAGGGGGTTGCGAATCTTGCCTCTGGAGATGACTACTCAAATTCTTGTAGTTTTTGAGATATGACGTGTTTTTAGGATTTTTCAGAAAACTTAGGTAAAAAAAATTTCACAAAACTTGAAATTACCATCACTGTAGTGAGGCTCTGTCAGGGTACTCTCAGGAGTTGCGAATTTTGCCTCCAAATAGGAATGCTCAAAATCTTGCAGTTTTCCAGATGTGGCGTTTTTTGTGATTTTTCTAAACATTTTCAGAAAAGTTAATTTTGAAATTCCTAACCTGTACTTGGGGGGCTGTCAGAGTAATCTCAGGGATTGCAAATTCGGCTTCCAATTAAGAATGCCCAAATCATTTTTGTTCAAGAGATACGACGATTTTGTGATTTTTTTTGGAAATTTTCAGAAAACTCAAATTACAAAATAATTAGTTAAAGTGAAATTTCCAACCCTGTGGTTGTGTACTTTCAAAGATTGCGAATATTGCCATCAAAAAAGACTGCTCAATTTGTGATAGTTTTCGAGATAAGAATTTTTTTCGGGTTTTCAAAAAAAAACTTTTTTTTAGAAAACTTAAATGTGGAATTTCTCAATTTGAATTTCCCAACGTTGTAGTTGGGTACCGTAAGAGTACTCTCAGGAGTTGCAAATCTTGCGTCCAAATGCGACTGCTCAATTTTCAGTTTCCCCAGATGTGACGTTTCTTAGTTCATTTTCAATTTTTCGAAGAACTTATATAAAATTTCACAAATTTTCATGGTGCTTGAAATTTGTATAAAAACTTGAATAAAAAACTTAATTTATTAATAAATTTTTAATTACGAACCCTGTAATTGGGTGCTGTCAGAGTACACTCAAAGAATAGTTTTTTTGAGTTGTTGAAAATTCGAAGCACCGGAGGTGCGTTTCACGCTTGTATTGTGTGAAAGGTATGAACTCTATTGAAAGTTAGGCCCAGCCCGTAAAAAGCCCGGAGATGGTTCCAACTCTGATAAAAATACGTTAATTATTTAATCAGAAGCAGCTTTAGCTAAAATGGGGTCCCTAGTGTTCATTTAAGTTTCATTGCAAACACCAAAGTTTGTGAAAGAGGTTTTAATGCATGCTCCGATCGAGTTAGGATGTGTTGCGTTACCAAAATCGGATACCACAATGAATTACTGTACTATATCGGGTTTTTTTTTTAAATTGTTTACAAAATATGGTTGAATCGTAAAATGAAACATCTTCAATTTTGCGAAATGTCAATTAAATTTTTTTTTTCAATTACCGAAGGCCAATTTTATTTTTAAAACATTCTATTTCAGCTTAAGCACAGGAAAATGATTTTGAATGCTGTTAAGAGAGTATATAAGCCAGCCGAAAAGTTACATCATATGAATGAATTTGCTTAACTTTCGTAACTATTAGATAATTGTTACATAACTATTATAAAAACGCTTACGTATTTTCGGCTGGTTGATACTTCGGCTGGTTTGTATGCAACCGTTTTAACCAAGATAATTATAGTCGGAAACTTCTGAGCTGCTAGCACAGCAACCGGCTACTGTTGATTGATTAGGAAAAGTTAATTGATTTTTCCATACTTTCAGGGTGCGAACATTCTGCTGACTCAGAAAGGAGACGTGAAGCTGGCTGACTTCGGAGTGTCCGTGCAGACTTCTTCCACTTTGGACAGAACAAAGACTCTCATAGGCACACCTTATTGGTAAGAGTCATCGAAAATAGTTTTATCACAACTTTAACTGACCATCTGTTCTATTTTCCGAAATTCACCATCATCGTCATCATTTTTGATTTTTCTTGTAACCCTTTTTGCAACTCAGCGATATCTGATTAGTTTGTTTGAACGAGGCTGCATCAGTTGCTGATGAGTATCCTCTCCTCATCCGCAAATATGCCTCATTTTGACCTACTTATATACTTAAGGACTTGGATCCTACTTTCTGTTAATAGTCTGTGTATAGTCAGTCTATAGAAGCTCCAATGATCCTCGCTGTGTCAAATTGAAGCGATCCAATCCACGAAATCTACATTTGTTATTGTTGGTTGCTATTTCAGGATGGCCCCGGAGATGGCATCAGCCGACAATAGAAACTACACGTACTCGAACAAATGTGACATATGGGCTCTGGGCATTGTAGCTCTGGAGCTGGCTCATGGACAACCTCCTAACTACAACTACGAACCCAAACAGTCGGTATTTTTTCATTGTCAAAATTTAAAATCGGAAACTTTTTCAGTATGGTAAAATGAATGCCTAAAGTAAGCCCAATTTGCAACTCATTGCATGTAGTTTTGGTGCTTTTTAGCAAGAGGCAAATTTTTGGACCAATTAAGCAATCTGCTATGGATCAATCTGGAATTTGCTTTAAGATTTTTTTTGCGAATTTTTGTTTGCGTGACCATTGCCTCGAGGAACGCAATTTACCGGGGCTGGTGTAAAAACTCTGCGTCTAAATAACAGAAAAAATATATCTGCAGCACCTTCATAATGCTCGCAATAGCGCTTTTTTACTTACGGCTTAAATGCATCAATTCTAGTAATTGTTTTCACTCTGAAAGTTTGTAATCAGTTTTGGTATTCTGAATGTTCGTCTTCCATATTGTTGGAGAATCTGGCTCATGATTCTTAAGTTCAGTTCATTTCCTTGTTGAAAGGAAGGCAAACTTCACTATCGAACAGCAAAAGTGTTAAGGTTACGAAAAAGGTGATCGACTTCGTTTCGAAAGTGGAATTTAATTTAATCCCAGCGGAATAAAAATTAACATATTGATCCAGTTTTCTCAAATTAAACTGATTTTAGCGAATCATAACTATTTCTAAAATTTGAAAGAGGCTTAAGGCCATATAAGATTTAACTTTGAAATCGAAAATTGAATCTTTTCAAAAATTAAATCAGTTTTTTTTTCTGTTCCTTGCGTTCATGACTCTTTTCCAACTGTCTGTTGGCTATGTTGAAGTGGTAATAATTATTTCTCAAATTCGTAATGAGCTATCCCTCCCCTCACCGCCCAAAAGTAAAATGATAACACGGCAATTCTTGGGCCCTAGAGTGGCCAAAATTTTGATCCGCTCATCACCTCACCTCGTCCATGACCCAATTGGATGTAATAGCCAAAAGTCAAGTATAAACTAAGATTTCTTGGTTACGCAAGAAATGCGATGTTCTAACAACAGATGATTTTTTTAATCATTGAAGACGTAATCGACTGAAGTTGTATCCTTAGCAACCAGTTTTTAGTAGAACGTTGAATTGAACCTTAGGTACTTGAACGTTCTAAAAGGACGCCGCTTCAAAGCACCAAAATTGAGCAGTCAGCGAACTTGGAGCGGAGATTTCTACCACTTCATCAGCTGGACCCTAACCCAGAACGCCTCGAAACGACCCACTGCCGAAGAAGTGCTCCGGGAATCAGACTTCCTGCGCAAAGAGGGTCTGGGTCCGTCTCTCATGCGCATTTTTCTACGGAAGCCAACTGATAGTCAAGGCGGGGATGCAGAAGGTGATGAGTTGAACACGTCGACGCAGAGGCTCCAGCCCGATGAAGACGAAAAGGTCATTAAATCGAAGAGCAAGGCTGATACTTCAGGCAAGTTGTGAAGTGATAGTCTTTATTATCATTTTTTTTTTGTAATAGCAAGGGTATTACAACATGATACTAGACTGTTTTATCCCATTAAATCTATGTCCACATACTTCGCTTGTTTACAATTATTGATTTTAAGTGTAGATATGGCGTAGAGACTTTCATAGGTATATAGTTTGAGTCGGGTCGTACCTTTTAGGCAATTTGTTGCTCAATTTTCGGCTTCATTTTAAAGTTATTCTTTTAAAGCGACTTTTATTTTTTGAGAGTCGATATAAGAAGTTCAGACTCTTATATAAGTCGCTATAAAAGTTTTTTTTTGGTTTTTTTCAGGAATTTTCTTATAAATTGCTCAGGCTTAAAAATATTTTTTCTCTGTTTGACTTTATTTCTTTTGAAGTTCAATTCATTTCCTTCTTCAGAAGGAAGTCAAACTCCACTAACGAAAAGCGAAAGTGTAGATGTCTCGAAAAACGTCAAAAGGTTCTTTAACTCTTTGCCATCCGTCTGTTGGCTATATTTTGTAATTGAGTTTTTTCCCAGAAATTAGTCTGCTAATTTTTGTGTTGTTTTTTTCTCAAGTTTCTCTGTTTTATCTGGTTTGAAAGATTATTCGCAAAATTTGCTTTTGCGGAGGAAAGGTAGCTGAATTTATGTTTGCTTCAGTTTTTCGGAATATCGATTTTTCATGCGTTGTTTGTAGCTGCAAACAAGGGGCGCCGCGCTGACAGTACTGAGTTAAACAGTTACTCAAAACTAGGGACAGTTTTTGGCATGGAGAACCGAGAACAACTCTTAAAGAATCTAATGTCCCCCGTTATCTTGTGACTTCATCGTGGTTGCCCACGGGTCGTCTTAGAGAAGTTAGCTTTGATGGGACAGTTAAAGAGGTGATGTATGTCATGCGAACTAGCGTTACAGCTTAGGATATTGTTTTGTGCAACCTCGACGAGTAGCTGTTTAATTGCGTGCTATATCGATGTCGGAGTTGAACTAAGTTCACCGTGAACTTCACGGAAGACTGTTTCCTTCCAAAGCTATTTCTGGGGTTTGCGAGCCCATCTGTTTGTTTTGATCTGATGCAATGCTATCATTTTCATCAAGAAACTTTTGATGTTGCCCTAGCATTGTTCGGATGTGATGTTTTGTATTCTCTAGATTGGGTTGTGCTGGGTAGTTTGGTGATCACTTCTTTCTTGTTGATCGCAACCATTCAGAAATTGTTTGTAAACATCTCATTCTGTTCCTTGGCTGGCATCATTTGAGTTTCACCATAAAGGTGTGCAATTGGAATTGTTTTGTGCTGCCAGATCCGGTGTTTTAAATGCTGTGTTTTAACGAGCTTGAAGATCTCTCCGAGTTTTTTTCACTGAAGGTGTACAAACAGTAGCTGCTTAATTTGAAATATCTAGAACATAGTTTCCTCGCGTCACGTTCAGCTTGTCTGAGTGTTTTTTTCAGTAATTTTATCTTCCTTTTGGCTTGTGTTTGGTGAGCGTAAAGAGGTTTATAAGTTGATTGCTTAATTTGAAGGTCATTGCTAAATTTTCGCTTTTTTCATAAGGGGTCCCCCTCTTATAGTACTGAGCAAAACAGTTACTCAGAACTGGGGTCAGTTTTTGGTGCGGAGAATCGAGCATAATTCCCGTGCCTGTTTCAAGCGGTCAGTTTTTACTTAATGCATGGAGCCGAGAAAAACTCCTAAAGAACCCTATGTGACCCGTCAAAGCCGTAGTTTATGTCATGCTAACTAGTGTTACAGTTTGGGATCTTTTTTGTGCATACTCGACAGATAGCTATTCAATAACGTAAGGCTATATCGAAGGCGGAGTGGAGCAAGAGGTATGCTGTCTATTTCACGGAAGGCTGTTTTCTTCAAAAGCTTTTTCTTGGGTTTGAAAGCCCAGCTGTTTGTATTGATCTGATATAATGCTGAAATTTTTATCAAAATATTTTTTTTGCCATTCGGAAGTGGTTTTGTCAGTCACATAGTTGCTTGATAGTTTGGTGGTCACGTCGTTCTTGTTGATGGCAACCAGTAAGAAATTGCTCGCAAACATCTCAATGTGTTCCTCTGCTGGCAGCATTTGATTTTTACAATAAAGGTGTGCAATTGTTTTTTTTTGCAGCCTGTTAAAACTCAAATGCTGTGTTTTAACGACCTTGAAGATGTCTCCAACGAGATTCCTTTACTGAAGGTGTACAGACAGGAGCTGCTTAATTCATAAAACTATGCGCATTGATCTTTCATCTAATACTTAGTTTCTTTGCTGCAGGCCGAGCTTATGTCTGAGAGTTTTTCCAGCCAGTTTTGGCTTGTGTTCAGTTAGGGTAAAGAGGTTTATGAAAGGTGATTGTTAAAGTTTAAGGTTTTTGGATGGTAGTTGTTTTTTGATAATCACTTTTCTTTGGTTTGAAATTTCGTTGTTCTTGGTTCGAATAGACACTGAAGATCTGTCTGCGGATTGTTTCAAATTGCGTTTTTGAAGCCCATTTTGAAGAATACTTAGACAGGGGTTGTACCTCTAGTTCAATTTCAGTGTTGTTAGGACCAGGGGTGGTGATAGCCATGGCATCTGCCTTTGTTCTATTTTTTTGTTTTTGACAGATGGAAGGGGCATTGATGACAGGGCATTGATAATAGATTGATTAGAATGGGCGACGAGACACCTTAAAATTTACCTGTTTTCTTTCGTCGCATTTTGATTTTTTATTCTTAAGTTCAAAATAATAAGTTCATAATAAGTTGCCCTGACTTTAGCTGTGACGTTATCTATATTTTTGCGTTGTTTAAGAGACTACGTTTTAAGATCATTCATCAAAATACCGTGATCCACTGCGTCAAAAGCTGCAGTAGGATCTACGGCAACTAAAAGTGCCCTGTGTGGAAGTTGTGGTTGATTAAGTCCGTTTCTTATGAGAGTTGCTATGCAGTGTAAGTTAGTGTTTGTTGAGCTGTGTTTTTCAAAACTTGCTTGTGATCTGCTTGTGGGATGCAATTGAAATGATCCAGCAAGGCTATTCAATCAATTTCGCTACTGGAGATAAGAGGGTTGTGTTTCGGTAGCTTTTTGCTTCATTCATATGGTCCGATTTCAGTAAGTAGAGTAAAGATTTGCTTAAGTTTCTAATTTTGCAGAATGATTGGTGTTAAGAGATAGTGATGTAAGGTTGGTAAGAAGATTGAAATATGTTTCTCCGAGGTGGTGGAGTTGAATGGGGCGATGTTCGATGTTGTGGGGCCCTAAAGCTGTGTTTTCTTGGTCAATTTAATTTTGTTTATGATAACCTGTGCAACAATTTTAGTGGATTCATGAGATATTTCTTTTAATTTGCAGAGGGTGCTGCGTTTCTCTTTGTTTGGGGCGGGCAGGTGGGGTATGCATTGCTGATTAAAAAGGTTGTCACACTTTCTCAAATCATAAACAGGATTATGTTGAAGTTTATGCGTTGACTTGAAGTTTATGTGTTGTCAGATGATTTGTACGCTGAGAGGTCACAATTTTCCATAATTTGTGACTTAACTTCTCTGAGAGGCTCGTTTTTCCCTTGTTTCAAGTTTGTTTCGGTCTCAAGTTTGATCATCTTATCTTAGGTTTTTTAAAGTCCATTGCTCAATATAGGCTGATATGCAGTTTTTTTGGAACTCTTTGCATAACCGATAGATCTTAGAGGCTATCATTTGTCTAAGTTTTTGTTCTGGATATAGAAGAGTACTTTTTACTGTCTGAATATAGAAGATATTTGACATTGAAGTGAGTTGTCATGTTATTTGATTGCAGGTCACGCAATCCACGCACCCAGTCAGGAGTTCAGCCACCTGTCTCAAGTATGGCCCAACTCCAGCTCAGAGTCCATACCCGAGGAGCCAGAGTAAGCAGATCACAGTATAATTTATATTATTCTCAATTGAAACAAGATAAACAAGTTGCTGCGAAGGCGGCACAGAAAGTTCTGATCACAAATATCATCGCAAAAAAACAAGTTTTTAATTTCGTTTTAATGGATTTAATCGGAAGTTTCCTCCGATGTATGGGTAATGAAGGTAGGGGAGTGAAGTTTCAAAACTTACTTAATGATAGGTTAAATTAGGTGTTAGAAACATAAAAATTAGATTAAGAAACAACTCCCTTCTCATAACTCGTGGGGTCTCCCATGTTATCAAGTGTAAAAACGAAACCCACCCTAAGTCATAGTGCCTTCCCATTTCAAACGTGATATTTTTTTCTGAGGTATTTTCAAAAGCTCAAAAAAATATCGGGTTTTTTCGAACTCATTAATACTTGACTTTTCTGACTTCCTGTTGGCTTGTTTTTTATTTTTTTATTTAGCGCTTTTTAAGCATAACTGATCTTGATTGTTTTCTATTGTCAAATATGATTTGGGTTAGAGTGATAAAATAGGTTAATGAAAACATTTCAGCAAACAAGGTGTAAGCAACCACGACGAAAAGAAGCAAAGACCCTCGGTGCCTCCTCCCGATGGTCCAGCTCCATTGGCGCCCTCAGACTCGATGTACGTCAATGTCTCTGGTACTGCCCCTTTTCTCGGTGGATCGGAAGTCAAACAAGGGCCAGCTCCGATCGCCAGAGGAGATACCAATACCGCCGACTACGAGAACGTGTCACCTACCATACGCAGTGATCCAAACGCAAACCCGAATGGGCAAACAAAGCCAGCTGCAGAAGGAGACAAGAATAATGAAGCAAAATCAATTTTAGAATACGACCGTACACTTAGACCCTTAGGTAAGCTCGATAATTGGTTGGTTCTTCGGATGACTGGTTACTTTAAATTGAATGTTTTGATGTGATATAAATTCAGAAATTCTGCATTTGATTGGCTGAGAGAAATTTCACAACGCAGAAATTTGATTGGCTGGGAAAATATTGTGGCTTTTGGTTCAAACATCGGAATAGTGTATCTCAACTATTTTTGTACGTTTTCATTGTAAACTTGTTGTGTTCATTTAGATGCACAGTCACGGTCACGTGAAAACATCCAAGAAAGCGAATCGAGAGAAACTCCGAAGAAGCCAGCCCCGAAGTCGCCCCAAGTAGCCCCATTCTCCCGGTCAAATGATTCCCCCAATGCTCCGTCAACACCAGCGTCTCCACAACACTATTCACATGGATTAGCCGCTGAGGCAGCATCTTCACCCAATAATGAAATAGCGCGACGAGAAGATGGAGTCTCGCCAGAAAAAGCAAAGCAGCAACTTTCAGGAAAACCGGTTGTTCCCGAAGTTTTAGTAAGTAGGGAAATTGCGCAGCTAAAACTATCAACTAATACATCTTTACAAGAGCTAGCTTGCGAACATAGTACTATTACGGCCAAGCTTTTTTTTCCATGAATGTTTCACATCTAAGTGCAAAGTTTTGTGCAATTTTTTGTGTTAATGGTACGGCGTACAGTGCTGATTTAAATTATCCGGAGGAAATCAATAAACTTGAAATATATCGAAAATTTTTAGGTCGACCGAATTTATTTTCCGAGCTCCCCCAAAGCGCTAAAAAGACCCTGTTTTGGCAGGCAACATTTTGAAAAAACCAGCGAAAAGGCGTTTTAAATTAGTATATCTTGGCGCCAAAAGCGCCTTGAAAATAATTTTAGGGTCCCTCAGCCAAAATAATACAAAGGAGGCCCTTTGGGTTGTCAGGGGGTCGAATCCATGAGGGGCGGGGGCGTCCGCCCCTGCTGCTGCCTTGTTTTTATTGGTTAAGCATGTGTGAAAGTTTGAGTAAATAAGTGCCAGCGAGCTATTGCTGAAATTGGGCTCAAATTTGGAGGCGTTTGGTTCGAATCCTGCAAGTTTCGTTCTTTTCAAGGCTAATTTTTGCAATTTCTTGAATTTCGATAGCTACTTTTGGCTTGATAATTTGCTTGTGTGTGCAAATGGCTACTTCGCCTCTGTGTACAAGGCGTAGAACGTTTTTTCCTGTGTCAACTAAAACCAGTTCAAAATACTTGTGGGAGTAAATAGCGATCTGCTTAATAGCGCTCTAAGGTAGGTTAGACGTTAAAGTTTGAAATCGAGGGTTTAGTTTTCAGGAGTCTTAATAGTTTAATAGTCTAATTATTTTTTTAACCGCTGGAATGCTTGCAATTGAAAATGCTAATTGATGCATAATGAAGGCCCAATAATGAGAATAATGTCATCATAGGATGCTCAAAATAATAATGATATTCATCTGATGCGATTTTCGTTGAAGATCTGGGTCCCTGATTTTTTTTAATCATTGTTTTCAGCTAAATTTCATAATGTGTTCATTCTCGGGGGATTCTCTTGGCCTCAATAAAAAGTGAAAGCCCGTTGCTTAGTAATTTGTAATTGTCACAATGCAGATCTAAAAGATATTTATAAACCCTTCAGCCAACTTTGATAAATGGTTGTTGGTTTCTTGCGCGCTCAGTTCCGATTTTAGCTTTGTTGTTTTGGACCTAAAAATAGATTGGGATGCTTAGCATGATCCATTAGATGAGATATTTTCAAGTGATAAATGTTGCTAACATGATGCAGGTGGATTTTTCAGTGTTTTTCAACCTGGTGAACTCTTTTTGTTTATATTTTATGTACCAAAAGAATGCCGTGCAAATTTTATTTCATTTATGTCGGTGTAGGTCATGGAAATTAACTAAGCGTTGCAATAAGTTTTAACTTTGATTCAATATATTTTATGACAATATCTTTGCGTCAGTGTCTATGAACAAATTAAAGACACTAATGTTGCATGTTTTGCAGAGTCATGAACGTAGAATACTCTTATATAGGTCCTAAGACTTTTTTCTCAAGAAAAAGTCATGTTCACGCTGAAATTTTTTTTTTTTTTGCGGTTTGACTTTTGGTTTCTTTTCAACTTCATTTCTTTTGTTAAAAGGAAGGCAAGCTCCACTATCGAACAGCGGACGTTAAAATGTCACAAAAAAGTGATCGACTTCTAATTTCGAAAATGGTTTTGTGTTTCGAAAGTGGTTTGATCACTAATGCATTTCTTTTTTTGAACATTTTAACCTAAAACAACTTTTCAGACAACTCGAAGGACATTCACATTATTCTGGGCTGTGCACTCATACAAGCGGTCTTAAATGAAAATTTATTTTCAACGATGAATGTAGTTCAGATTCTTATACAGCTCGTAATGATTTTTCTCGATTTCTAACAGGAAATGCCTTAAGTTAGTTCAGGCTGAAATTTATTTTTTCGCCGTTTGAAATTTGATTTTTTTTCTGCTCATTTCCTGTCTTAAAATGAAAACAAAAGCCGCTCTCGAACAGCAAAAGCGTAGAGGTCACAAAAAATGTGATCGACTTCTAGTTTTGAAAGTGGTTTGCAATATCAGGTTGAATTGGTTTTGTTTTACCAAAAAAGATTTAGTGGAAATAAAAAAAATGAAATTGAAAAACTTTTGGAAATTTATTGAGACTTATGTTTTTTTTTGCTGAAACTCGAACTTGAAAAGTTTCCAGGAAAAAGGAATCATTTTTCCAGGGGCGGATCTAGAATTTTTTCGAGGGGGAGGGGGTGGCGGATTTTCAAAAACCAAATTGAGTTTCGGACGGACCGTATAATTTCCTCCCCAAATCGATTAAGGGAGATAAATTACCGGTTTTTTATAAATTGACTTTAAGGGCAAAATTGATATTTTAGTTGGTCTAGAAATCAATTGATACCATAATGATTAATATTTTTCGCTATTAACAGGATAAAATCTGTTCGGTATCAGAAATGTTCTCTGGCAGTATATTCAATGCGCTTGCTTGCCCTCTGGTTGTTGAGGAGGTCAAATTCCTGAGGCGGAAGCGTCTACCCCACCCCCAAATCTGCCCTTGATTTTCTAGGTTCCTTGCCATTTTTTAACTGTCTATTGGCTATGTTAGTAATTTAAGTACGAGCCTTATTTGTTCGTATGAACTATTTAATAATGTGCTGTTTTATGTTGTGTAGATGGGTGCTATGTTCTCCAAAGTGTTCGATAGTGTGTCCTTCTCCAGTTACTGTGCAGTCACATGGGTGAACCCAGAGACCAAATGTAAGTGAATTAATGGTACGTTTGTTTCGACAAAAAATGCAACAAGAATCATGTTGATCAACCGATTGGCAGTCTGGTAGCAACAAAGAATAAAGCAGTTGAAATTGCTCATAGTTGTTTGAGGATGCAGACGGGTGTGAAGGTGATTGCGACATTTTTGTGAACTATACGTTTTGACCATTAAGAGCACCTAGGTACATAGTGACTATTTGTTTCAGTTAAATACAATTATTGTAATTTTAATAGACTATCTTTCATTAAACATACGGTTTTGCGTTACTCACGCCGAGCCGAATGTTTCGATAGCCGAAAAATGAAGCTGACATTCATTGAAGCGAACACTTTATCACTCGTGACGAATATAAGCTTTCGCTACTGGTAATGCCGGCAATATACCGTATGCTAGTTGATATATCTTTCTCGGATATGTTAAGATATCAATTTTTGCGTGTTTAGCTGAGTACATTTTGATTGCTTCTGACAATGGGGTCTACAGTCTGGATGTGGAACAAGTCTACATTGCGGAGCCAGAACTCAGGCAAATCTACTCGTCACGTACCACTTGGATGCAAGTTAGTTCATTTTTACCTATCTCTAATAGTATATATGGACTTTTTTATCGTTTAAGAAAGACGTCATAACGAATGAGCCTTGTGGTGGATTCGACACCCTCGCCCTTCAAAGGCCATCCATTTGAGGCAGATCCTTAAATTTGTCTAAAAGCGCTTTGGTGAAAGTTTTTTTGAACGAAGAGCGTGCGACGATAAACGCGAATTTTTCAGTTAAATTCTCTAAGTAGTTAAATTCACCAATAGCAGCATTTTCTACACTTTTTCAAAATCGCCTCATTTGTCATGTTCTAAAAAGTGAACATGATCAAAATCCAACTTGATTGTTGAGTTCTTTTCCCTTGAATGGCTCTTAATTAATCTGCAAAACACTTGTTTCAGGTGCATGAGAACCAGCTCATCTCCATTTCGGGCACGAGGAAGACCTATGTGTGTCAACACGACTTGGCCGCCCTCTATACCACCAACAGGACCCTGATGCGAGGAGTGTCCAGTATGATTGCATCGCGCATAGGACTGGCCAAGACTCAGAAGATACATGCTACCAGAGGCTGCCTTAAATGCTGCCTCAGTATGTACTACACTCTTACTACATAGTTTTTGCTCTACTGACCATAGCCTGAACATTCTATGCAACTTGCACAGCCAATTGTTACCATTGTTACTTTTTGACCTTGAAAATTATCGGTCAGTCTAGAAAGAGTAGATGCTGTAGAATAGTATTCAAAGATTAGCCCTTTTACTCATATCCGTAATGCGTTTCGGCTAATTCCGAATAAACAGGTCGAGAAAATGATTAAGTTATCGTCGCTCGCCACTTTGCTATTTCAGTCTCTTTCTTTTTGTGCAAAGTTTCCATGGGAACGTCAACAGGAGCCGTTAAGCTCAATTTGCTGCTCTGTTGACGATGTTTTATTATTTAGATCCAAGTCTTCTGTATTCAATCATCAGTTAACTGAATTCAAAACTCAACTTCAAATTGATTACATTTGGTTTGCAATTTCAGCGAAGACCTTTAACGATACCTACTTCATGTGCACACAACAAGTGGACAGATTCATCCTGTTTCAGTGGTATGAGAACAAGTTCAAAGAGCTACATGTGAGTAGTCCCAATGGAAGTCCTAATTTGCTCCGTAAATTCTGACTCAACACTTATGAAGTCAGCAACAGATTCGATAAAAAATCCTGATTCAACACTTGTGAAGTCAGCAACAGATTCGATAAAAACTGATTAAAGTTTGTTAATGGAACGTTCAATTTTTTCCTGCCTTTTATCAGAAAAAAGTCTTAAAAAGGGTTCACTTTCAATTTTGATTTGAGTTTTGACTTCTTTGGGCTTTATTTAATTTTATTTTCAATAAAGAAGACAAAATACTCTCTCCTATAACAAAAAGGGGAATGGTGCGGAAAAAACATGAATGACCTTAAAAATAAGTAGTTTTTTTTGGTTTTCTTGAATTTGTTTATAGCACTTAGAACTTTTTCTATAAAATAGAATTGCAGTCGTGTTGTATAAGTGTCACATGTTTTTTAAGAGTAATGAATGTAGTGAGTACTCTTAAATAGGCCTTGGTGATTTATTTTTCAGGAATTTGTTGACTCTCAATTTTGATTGTTTTGAGGTTTGACTTTTTATTTCTTTACCCTTCTCTTTTTCTTTCTCAGTTTTTTTTTCGGAATCCTGGTTTTCGTCCTAATTTCTGTCGATTCGATTTCCGTTTTTTATCTGGTGGGATTTTTAGTGGTTTTTTTAAAACATGAGTTTTGTTCCAATTTAAATAGTTTTTGCTATAACTGAAACTTAACAAATTTGTAAATTTACCATGTTTGTTTTTTAGTTTTTTCTTTTAGTTTTTTTGTTTTTAAGTTTTTTTTTTTTAGTTTTTTAGTTTTTCAAAAGTTTCAGTTTATGTCATATCGACTTAATCAACTTATTTTGCGTAACTTAAAGGGCAACATTCATACGTTTGGGTTTTTGTGTTTCAGTTTGGATGGATCGTAAGAACTTAAATTTAGTGAAATTTTTTAATACAACAGTTTTTTTTTCGGCTCAACAGGTTTCGACCCAAAGCTTGTCGCCTTTGTTGCCGCCAGGTAAATGATTTCTATTTTTAAAGGCTGTTTATGAACTGCTTCTGATACAAATATGATGTTTTTTAGCTGTAATTTTTCAACTTTTGTAATTTTTTTTTTTCAAAATAATTTTTCAGAATTTTTTTTACTTCTGTCTTTTTTTTCATTCACTATTTTGTGGCGCATTGTGCTTTTTTTTCTACATCGCAAGTGTTGCGAAGCTCCGCTTTGCCACTGTGTTTCTTTCCTTTGATATTTTCTCCTTTCCTTTGTTAAAAGGAGGGCAAACTCAATTATCTATCGAACAGCGAAAATCTAAAGGTAACGAAGAAAACCTGATCGACTTCTAATTTCAAAAATGGAAACTAATTATCAGATTTCTCAGCGAAATAAAGACCTTACCTATTGATCTGGTTTTCTCACCTTGAGTTATTTTTACCAAATAAAAAGCATCCATCATAAATTGTTCGTAAAATTGAAAGTGCTCTAAGGGCATATACTTTTCAAAATTCGAAGTTTTTTCAAAAAAAAGTCAGTTTATTCTGTTTTTTTTGCGTTCATAACTCTTTTGCGACTGTCATTTGGCTATGCTTGTGTTTTGCGCTGTCAGAGTTTTCTGTGATGCATGCAAACAACCATGTTTATGTTAAATTGGTATCAACTTCTGAATCAGTTTTTGTTCAGTTTCCATGGAGGTTACTTTCTTATATACCCTCCTTAAGCTTCAATTTTTTCCGGCTGTTGGTCCTATATTTCTCGATCTACGCTGACTGGTCTATTAGTTAAAAACGCGGGGTATTCGAAACGCTAAACTTAAACGTGGGGGGAAAAATAGTCCTTTTGCGTTTTATTTCAGTTCATCAACAGTTGACTGTTTGCCGTGTTTTTCTGCTGTTGGCGATAATAACTGTTGACTGTTCGTTTGCCACAATTTTTTCTCGACTACCCAGATTTTCTCTCGGATTTTTGTCAAAAAGTCAATTAATGTTAAAAGGACAAATTTAGAACTAGCTGTATAGTCATTTTAGGCCGTTACATAAATTGTAAATCAATTTACACATCTTAATTATAAGCATCTATTCAAATTCTTAGAGTCTTAAGATGAAACTGGAAATTAGTCTACTGTTGTCAATGATTTTTTGATTGGTACGTGATCAAATCTTTCGGATGGTTTCTTGTTGCACAATGGCAGATTTTCAGCTAAACTAAAGGCAAAATTATGTTCAGAGTTTCATGTTTCACTGTCGGAAACGATTGACTGTTTAAGAAGAAATGGCACTCTTCCATTTTGAGTGCAAAAAAACATCAAGACTTCTTTAAGAGTCTTCACTACGTTCATCGACTCCTAAAATATAAAGACCAATTTTGCACTTTTCCACCCCTCGTGAAATCAGAAATTGAAATTGCTGAGAAAATGTTCATACTGCAGTTGCATGTAAAAAATGTAACTCTCTGTTCAGTTTTTCAAGCTGACACTTTTTTTTTATCTCAGTTTAATTAATCAAAATTCATTTCAATTAGACATTTTTTAATGAGTTTCGGAAAGAAAGCAAAGAGCGCAGCCGAAAAATTAGAACAAAAAAATAATTAGGAAAAGTTTTTAAATTCGATCATTTATTTCAATTTCCCAAGTTTCCGAAAGTTTTGGGGAACTTTCATTGGAGGCCTTAATTGAATTGGAAATCAAACATGTTAATCGAAAAATGCGCGCGCTCAATTTTAAACATCTAATAATAAAGAAGTGCAAAACAAACTTTGAAGTTTCCTAGCTCCATTTTAGCACCCATTTTTTTGCCCTTTTTAAAGGAAGTCGGGCAAAAATTGAACACTCAAATAGCATTTTTTTCATTTGTTTTCTTAAAAAGAAGGCAAACTCCAAATCGAACAGAAAAATTGATAATGGCAAAAGTGATTAGGATGACATGTAGTTTCAAAATTGGTCTTTATATTTTAGGAGTCGATGAACGTAGTGAAGACTCTTAAAGAAGTCTTGATGTTTTTTTTGCACTCAAATTGATTTTCGCGGCCTGACTTTTGAGTTTTTTCTATCTTCATTTCATTTCCCTTCTTACAAGTAAGGTAAACTCCATTGAACATTAAACGTGTTAAGGTCCCGAAAAAACGCGATTGATTGCTAATTCCGAAAAAGGATTTTAGATTTCTAGTAGAATAAATACTTCACCTAATAATTCAGTTTTTCAACTTAGTTTAATTTTATCAAAAAGTGTCAATCATATAGTAACATGAACTTCAAGGCCAGATGTTTTTTCACTTTGAAATTCGAAAGTTTTTTGAAAACTAGCTATTTTTTTTCGGTGTTTCCTTGTGTACATTGACTCTTTTTCCAGCTGTCTGCTGGCTATTTTTTTGTATCGCCATCTTGGCTTAAAAAATATCCTGACTAGAAGCTACTTCTCAATTATAAGAAGGTTATTTCTTTTAACTGAACTGAACGATAAATGATTACTTCTCAAACTGAACTATAAGAGTGATAAATGGCCTGCTTTTAAAAAATTTTGCATAATTTATTCCAGATTATAAGGCGAAATTAATCGACTGTGATGGACTCTGTAATGTTGAAGTTCAATTGAAATTGAGGGGGAGGGGAGGGAGGTTGGGAATGAGTTTGATAAATTTACAAATCACTCATCCACTTGAGAAGGGCGGAACATAGACCTGTATTGAGAAGCGAGGTTGTTCGACGTGTTCGCACCTGTTCAGAGAAACATTGCAGTAATTTAGATTAACATCTACAAACTTTTCTTTGGCTGTAATACCTTTTCAATATTAACGAGTGGATTTATTTCTCATTAAGGCTGCAGTTTTCCTGCAGAAGTCGAAATGAGCGTAAATACTTTCATATGTTGATTCATTTTGTGATATATAACTTGAAGCCCGCTTCCAACTTTTTTTCAAGCCGAAGACTCATTGAGCTCTTCGCGAAAGTGGAGCAAACATTATCGGTTTACTTCAAATTTCAAATGATGAATTAAATCATAGACTTTCTACCGGAACATTAAGGGTAATTTATCAAAAAGGGTCATTCATAAGAATTTTGTTGCTTAGCTCAGTGTTCGTACGTTGGAGGCAATGAACAATGCCCTGTAACTAGGAAAAGTCCTTATTTTTTTTAAGAAAAAGTCAAAATTAGGTTAAGCTCGAATTTATTTTGCGCAATTTTTACCCGAAATTTTTGTTTTTCGCGACTAGCAAGCGTTATCAAACCGGAGTAAAGACTTTTTTCGGGTTAAAAACTTGTTTAACAGATTCACTTGAATCAGGTATCTTGGTTCACAATGCATTCAAATGTGTAAGCGTCTCCGGCACAATTCGTACAGAGGTAACGAATACGCCACAGGTCCTGGGTTCGAATCTGACAGGACCTGTGTTTTTTTCAAATCGGAAATATTCCGTTTCAAAAAAACTGTCGGCTTATTATTGTCTGCTTATACTTTGTTGGGTAAGTTGCCATATTGTAGATTTGTTTTTTTTTGTTGTAATTTTTTATATTATAGTTGATTGTGTTGTTCTGATTTACCTTTGCTGCTTGTAGTTTTCGTGTGTTGCCTTTTTTGTGTTTTGTTTTCTTTTTCGTTTTAAAACTTTAAATAATTTCGGCCTATTTTTTATCGGCTTAGTGACCTAATTCCGAGTCGGTTGAATGAAAACATATTTTATGATCAGCTCTATATTGCACAAAACGACAAAAATTTTAATAGTTCAAGTTGTAGTTCAAGTTTTTCATGATAACAATTTTTTCCGGCTTTTTTGTTTTCTTTTTTTATGGTCTTAATTAGTTTCGGCCTATATTATATCGGATTAGTGGGCTAATATATTTTCATTTGGCGAGCATATAAAGTTTTTTGAGTGTTTGTGTGTTTTGAGGGCGAGGAGCACTTATTAAGTTTTCAGAAGTCTGAAGTCTTGTTGATTTTTTTTCGGCCTAAAGGGTCACTGGTTGGGTATTTTCGGCTTTGTTACCGCTGGGTACATTATCATCCGATGCTTATGTCGTGTTCAATTTTT